TAGATAGATGATAGATAGATAGATAGATGATAGATAGATAGATAGATGATAGATAGATAGATAGATAGATGAATAGATAGATAGATAGATAGATAGATGATAGATAGATGATAGATAGATGATAGATAGATGATAGATAGATAGATGATAGATAACAGCCGGTGGCACGAGAGTGAAGCCAGCCAGAGCCTGCAGGGCTGACCGCACGGTTCAAATCCCGGCCAGTACCCAATGACCGAACCCATGGATGTCTCCTCCTGCCCCCGCTGTCTCTGTGTCTCTGTGTCTCTGTCGGGGACCCGCACCTCCCTCTGCCAACCAGAGAACCAAATGAAGCGGAGGCGGCTCACCCGGCCTGCAGTGCGCGGCCACCGTCCTCAGCAGCTCGTCCACGTCCACGCCGCCGTCCATCCGGCCCCCAGGGGTCCCGCACAGGATGTACAGGTCGGCCTCGGGGTCGCCGTCTCTGAGCAGGGGCCCTGGACGGCAAACGAGAGGCGACATTCGTCAGACACGGCCATTCGCCTCCAGCACCTCCGATGGGCCCTGCCACCCCGACTAGGGACGGTGAGCTCAGGGGTTCGGCCGGAGACGGGGTCTTCCTTTTCAAAGCATGTCTCTCTTCTTTACAAAGTATTATTTAACTTTATTTATTTTTAATTTGAGCAGAGACAGAGCGAAAGAGAGAGAAAAAGGGAAAGCGAGAAAGCAAGCCGCCAGGTCCAAGACTCGAACCGCGGTCGGCCATGTGGGAGTCCAGCGCCCGTAACCACGCCACCTGCCAGCTCTTTTTATTTTACATAACTATTTTATTTAATCTGATGCATCATAATCCTCACTCGTATTTTAACTGAACAGAGAGAAACAGAAAGGCAGAGAGGGACAGTGAGAAGGCAAGCCGCCAGGTCCGGGACTCAAACTGCTGTCAGCCATATGGGCATACAGCCACTTACCACCCCCTTCTGTGTTTTCCTATGCAAAACCGTGTCATGACTTTCTTACGACCTAATACTTTAACTCCGTTTCTGCAAGGACTTTTTTAAAGAGAGGTTTTTGCTATAGGGCATGTGCACTCACCAGACAGAGAGAGAGAGAGAGACAGAGAGACAGAAAGCGAGAAATCACCCCCCAGGGGGGATGGTCACGCCGCAGTCCCTTCTCCTCCATTCTCCTCTCGGGATCTTGGGCACGCACGCACACGCGCCCGGCGTGAGTTTAAGCCACCGAGTCCGGGATGCGAACCGCGGTCAACTACATGGGAGTCCAGCGACACAGCCATGACGCCAACTGCTGGTCCCTTCCATGAACTTTTGAGGTCACATGCACACAGTGACAGCACACACACTCACACAGCTAACACAGCACATTCCACACGCGTGTGCACACACACACACACTCCCCGTATAGAGGACGCAGACACACACAGAATTATACCCGACACGGAGCTGCCTGGCGCTGTCCCTGCTCCGCGGGCTGGAGAGCAGGAGACGGGCTCCGTGTCACCTGAGAGCTCAGACGCTGTCACCTGGAGACGCGGGTATGCGTGGGCCAGCTCGTGGGCCAGGGCGCCCGGGCGGCCTGTGGGAAGCAAACGCAGATGCCATGTGCAGACCCTCAGGGCACGTACCACACGTGACTCGAAGGTGGACCCAGGTCCCAGCAAGACACGCTCTCACGTAACCAGCCAGAGGGGCATTGCTGGGGTCCCACAGCCCGCACAGGGCGAGCGGAAAAATGGGCACGGTCGTAGACTCATGGGGAATTCTCGAGCCCCACTCTGCGGGGCTCTATGCAGGGGTGACCTCCAAAAAAGCTCACGGAGAATGTATATTACGCCAAACGGTGGCATGGATTCCCAGGTGTCTTGCGCCAAAATAAACGCATGCTTTCATTCTGTTTTTCCACGAGCCTTCTGAAGTCCCGCTTGATTTGTCCCTTCTTTTTCCTGCTGTGGGATGTATGTGTGATGTCTGGTGCCACAGCAGCTGTTCTGGCTCATGAGGAGAGTACACGGGAGAGAAAGCACCCCGGGTCTGCGGTCCTACCAATAGAAAAGTTTCTACCTCCTCATCCACTGTCCACAGTATGGAGGCTCTGCACTCCATGGTTATACGTGCAAGGGTGTCGTAACCGGTACAGGGCCGTGGCCACCCCTACGTCCCTAACCAGACACGGCATGGGCCGTGCACAGCTTAGCCCAGGACACAGCTGTCTGAGCCGACTCCCGGGCGGGGCGGGGTCTACACACCTCCCAGGTGGCAGGCAGAGCGGAACCGGGACAGGTCGAAGGCCGTGGCCAGCTGGCGTGCGGTGAGCTCAGTGAGGCCGCGCCTGGCAGGCGGGGACCGCGGCTTGGTCTGCTCACCATGGTGGCCGGACTCCTGGAATGCAGGGGTGGGGCGGGCTGAGCAGGTCCGGGCCTCACAGGGGTGAGGCAGCACCTGCTTTTTCACTTTTTTTTAAGAGCGATTTTTGTGGGACCAGCAGGTGGTGTGGTGGGTAAGGTGCTGGACACTCCCACACGGTCAACCACGGTTCAAGTCCCAGACCTGGCAGCTTGCTTTCTCACTTTACTTCACTGTCTCTTTGTCTCTCTCTGATCAAATTAAAATAAATAAAGTTAAATAAATAATTGTTTAAAAATAAAAAAAGGAGAGAGATTTTTGCTATAGGGCATGTGAGCTCGCCAGACAGACAGAGACAGACAGAGAGACAGAAAGCGAGAAGTCACCCCCCAGGAGAGATGGCCACGCCGCAATCCCTTCTGCTCTCAGAGTTCTGAGCGAGGAACCATTACACCGTGCTGGTCCCGGGAGCTGATTTCGGATTTCTCTGTCTCTCTGTGTCTCTCCAGCAAGCAACATGCCCTACAGCAGAAACCTCAACAAGTCCACGGAAAATGCACAGGAGAAGCGTGCTCCTGAAGACCCTCCAACCCCAGGGACCTGTGTCCTCCTAGAGACCCTCCAACCCCGGGGACCTGTGTCCTCCTAGAGACCCTCCACCCCCGGGGACCTGTGTCCTGGTCCCCGAGCAAACACGGGGCTGGGAGGGCGTTCCCCGGCGTGCCCAACCTGCCACCCCTGTGCGCTCCTCGCCGACACCTGGGGCTGGCGGCCCCCCTCCCGGATGGTGGCCTCGGGGTGTGTGCGGACGTGGCCGGTGCGATGGCCGCTGTGAAGACCGAAGTCACGGAGGGAGCACTCGGCGTCTGACACCAGGTACAGGGCGGCCGAGTCCGTGTTGCGGTAACCTAAGGACGAAGACGGAGGGACCCGTGTGGTTTCCAGCCACGGACACCCACGCACACCGACCCCCGGAGGCAACGAGCTCGCACCACTGAGATGCTAAATTATGGGACCAGCGGATGGCATCATGGCTATGTCGCTGGACTCCCATGTAGCTGACTACAGTTCACATCCCGGACCCGGTGACTTAAACTCACGGGGCGCGTGTGCGTGCGTGCCCAAGATCCCGAGAGGAGAATGGAGGAGAAGGGATTGCGGCGTGGCCGTCCCCCCCGGGGGGTGATTTCTCGCTCTCTGTCTCTCTGTCTCTGTCTCTGCAGCTGAGCACCTGCGCCCTGTGGCAGAAAACAAATAATAAGAACAGCCCTGAAAGTTCTCACCCCGTTCCGTCTTCTCCAGTAGCCCCGCAGCTGTGCAGAGGTCCAGCAGCCTCTCGACTGTCCACACGGACGCGTCCACGGCCCCCGCGATGCCCGCCGCCGTCTGGGGTGGCCTGTCCCTCAG